CATTCCAGAGGACATGCTTCCATGCTGATGACACTCATTCAAAAAAATAATGCCTTAATTAAATTTGTGACTGAACTCCTTGTGAGAGAATTGTATGTCCCCTGCTCTGCTCTACAGAACCCAAACTACCAAAAAAGAAAATCAACCTTCAGCTGACTCAGAGGATGAAATGAACATGCATCAATCTGCACTCCTTTGGATTGTTATTGAGCAGAACCCATCATCAGCATGGATGCATGCCCCCTGGACTGTGTTTGAAGCATGAAGGGACATGAATCTTTAGCGCATCTGGCACATAAATTGTGATGCCAGCTGCAACAGTGCCATGTGAACGCCTGTTCTCACTTTCAGTGACATTGTAAACAAGAAGCAGGCAGCATTATCTCCTGCAAATGTAAACAAACTTGTTTGTTTGAGTGATTGGCTGAACAAGAATTAGGACTGAGTGGACTTGCAGGCTCTAAAATTTTACATTGTTTTATTTTTTGAATGCAGTTTTTTTTTTTACATAATTCTACATTTGTAAGTTCAACTTTCATGATAAAGAGATTGCACTACAGTACTTATATTAGGTTAATTGAAAAATACTATTTTTGTTTTTTTACAGTGCAAATACTTGTAATCAAAAATATAAAGTGAGCACTGCACACTTTATATTCTGTGTTGTAATTGAAATCAATATATTTGAAAAATATAGAAAACATCCAAAAATAATAATATAATACCATTTATTTAAATAACAGTGCAATTAATCGCAGTTAATTTTTTTAATCACATGATTAATCATGATTAATTTCTTTAATTTCTTGACAGCCTTAAGTAAAATGCATACACTTTATATTTACATACATAGAACAAATACCAGTTTTATTATGCTTCTCAGGGGCATAATTAAATTGATTTCATATCATTCCCTAAGTGAAATGAGTGGATGTACCACATAGATACTACAGACCTTAGCATTTTTGTCAGTTGATGAGAAAGCATTTCACATGAAAACTCATTGATCAGCAAAATGTAAACACAACCAAAGCATTGCTTGTCTATTTTCATTTCCCATGCAAAGTTCTGAATTATTAATAACATTGCAGTCACTGATGTAACTTCTTTTAAAGAAAAAAGCCTTCATAAAATATCTAAAGTACTTGATCTAAATAAAAAAAACCTGCTAACCATGTCCTCTAGTAAAGGCTACTAGTGTGATAAAATAATACACCTTGATAAAATTAAACTGACATTTAGCACAAGAAATACAGAATTACGGGTATGATTTTCATTCAGTAAAATCATATAGTCTGGACTATATTTTGGCTCCAGGAATCACAGCCAATTTGGGGAGGTGTTAAATACCCCAGGCCCTTTAAATCACCCCTGGAGCTACCAGCTGCACAGGCAGCTGGGAGCCCCAGGGCTCAGGGGAGATTTAAAGGGCCCCGGGCTCTGGCCACCGCTACCACAGTGGAGCTCCGGGCCCTTTAAATCACTGCCGGAGCCCTGTCACCACTACCCCGGGGCTCTGGCAGGGGGGCTCAGGGAGCACTTTAAAGGGCCCAGGGCTCCAGCCATTGTGGGGACCCCTGGTGCTCCAGCAGGGGAGTTCGGGGGGGGTGCTTTAAAGGGCCTGGGGCTCCCTGCAGTGGCTGGAGCCCCTGGCCTTTTAAAGTGCCACCTGAGCCCTGCTGCCAGAGCCCTGGGGTAGTGGAGGCAGGGCTCCAGCTGTGATTTAAAGGGCCAGGGGCTCCGGCTGCTGCGGGGTGCCCCAGGCCCTTTAAATCACCAGCCTGGGGAAGCTGGTCTACTGGCTCTTGCCGGTACGCTGTACCGGACCATACTAGCTTACTGTCACCTCTGGGTACATTGCACTAGCGGAGGACAAATGGAGGACAAACAGTCAGATGCAGGCAGAACTCCTCCAAAGATGCTGGGAGGAACAGTTCCTGTGCTGCTTTTGGAGATGCAATGAGTTCTCTCTCCAACACTAGCCTCAGATTGGTACACTGAATCTGACTGTAGCCATGACCCCTTTGGCATGTGTAGCACCACTGCATGGAGTACAAGTACCAAGACTCTCGCTGCTTCTTGCACAGATTACTAGGGGCAATGGGCGCAGAGTACCCTATATCATCTCTCAACCCTTACACACATGTGCAGCGGCCACCGCTGAATTCACCATGCAACAGCTCACTTTCTAATACCAAATATATACATGGTATTCAGGATAGTAACATGGACTGCTGCCAAAAAGAGTAGCCAAAAAGGGTAGCAAAGGTCATTTCTTGATTATTAATCTCCTTATTCAGGCAAACCTTATGACTTGAATAAGGATGCAAGACTTGGGTCGAAATCTTAGAAATAAAACAATGCAATTTAATATGCATTTCATGATTTACTTTCTTTCCTAATCACATGTGTTTTGAGTAAGAAAGATCCTCCTCAAACACACACAAAAACTAACAAGTTCTTATTAGTAATAAAAATAAATGATAAAATGGGCTGTTATCAGGCATCATCATTCCCCCATTTTTGGAATATACATAAAAGTCCAGTTGTAAATTTAACTCAGGATTTACTAAATCTTATGGTCTATAATGCCCAATCCTGCAAAGCCTTACACTCATACCTAACTTCATTCATCAAAAAAGAATCCTACTAATTTAAAAATAGACAATTGACTTTATTGGAACTACTCACCATGCATAAAATTAAGCACACGTGTAAGGCTTTGCAGGATTGAAACCTATGTAAATAGTCCATAGTTCAAGTTATTTGACCTCTAAAGGATATTGTAGGATCCATACATCAGAGAGAGGGAGTTTTGTGAGAGTCTGGTTAAGGTGGTAGGGGTCTTCATTTTTGTTAAAATTATTGCTCCTGCTTGGACATTTTCAGCAATTGGAAGAGTCTATTTATTCCATTGTATGTTTGAAATTAGTATCAAAGGCACCCAGAGCCTGAGAAGAGCTTTAAAACAAGTAAAAAGTTGATACAAACCAAAATAAATATATACTTTTCATTCCAGAGAAGCAAACTACATTCTTGGAAACTTTCAAACAAGAGTGTTTACCTTAACTCAGCAATTTAAAAAGACAAAACAAACAAACAAAAATCCAAACTTGAGATGCATGATTAAAAACGTGAAACAGGAAGTGTGCCCTTTAAATACCAACTCCTAATTGCGGAGATATTAATATGTAAATCTAATTACGTACATTTAAGGATTAGGTATTTCATTAAATCTGCCTTGACGTAAATTGCACAGTCAGTTCTTTTATTAAGACTGATCATCAATTTCCATTCTGGTATTTGTTAATAATAACTGACAAAATATCAGAGGTTCACCCTTGCTGCAAGCATTTCAATGATGGCTTTACAGCACAGCTAAGTTAAATACCCTCATGCTCAGCTCCAGAGCATTCATGATGTTCTATTACGTGACATGAATAAAAAAAGCTTAATTTTAGCCAATTATATTTATTGGCAATTCAAGGGTGCATATACAATCCAATTATCAGAGACTTGAAATAGTTTTGCACTATTGCCCTCCGAGCTGGTCCAAGCATTCTTTTTAACTATTGGCAGTCTAATAGTTGGCTGGGATCAAGTCATGTGTCTGATATTAATTGAAGGCGGCACCATTGGTATCTCATGCTCAAATAAATTGGTTAGTCTCTAAGGTGCCACAAGTACTCCTTTTCTTAGTGCAACTTCAGGTATTGTAATCCACACTTGGTTACCTTCAAAGCACAAGGGACAATAATTTTATATTCTACAATGCAAATCCAGTCAATTGTATACAGTACATGGAAGAAAATATTTCCTTAAGATGCATGAAAGTCAGTTCTCTGTAGTGGAAAACACATGGGAAACTAAGTGGGAAGTACTGGGTCTCAATCCAGCTCCCACTGAAATCAACAAGGGTTGACTCTTTCCCGTGCATTCCTATGTTCTTAGGTCCAGTAGTTTATGTTCTCTAGATACCCGGGCTGGGGGGAGAGGTGTATATGCATATGGCATGTCAGGATTATTATTGAAAAGAGCAGAGCCAGGTTTAAAAATGCCAAATATTTTCATGGGAAATTTAGTGGGGTGGTGTCTCTTTTCATCTCAAATTTGCCATGAAAAAATTATGGCTTTCCAATGAAAAACTGAAAAAAAAAAAATTCAACTGTTCTTTTTTTTATTTTTAGTATTCAGTTTCCATTTTGTGGTTTTGTTGTTGTTTAATTAAATTGAAATAAATTGAAAATATATTTTCCATGAAAAATAATCAACCAGTTCTACAAAAGAGGAATAAAAAACATACAGTGCCAGATTCTTAGCTGTTATAAATTGTCAAGGCTACATTCAAAGAGAGCTATGTCATAGGGTATGTCTAGACTGCACACACACCCAAAAAAAAGTGTACTCAACTCAGGCTAGCTAGCCTAAGGAAGCTAACAAAATAAAATAGCAGTGAAGATAATGGTAACTTGGCTTTTACCTCAGGTTAGCTAGAGTTCAACCTCAGGCTGCCCTATAGAATTGAACTTGATCTGCTAACCCAAGTTAAAAGCCAAATTCCCATGTCTTCGCTGCTATTTTAACCCTATTTAGCTAACGTGGGTTAGCAAACCCAAGTTAAAACCCATTAGATCACATGTCTGACCTTCTGTATATCACAGGCCATTAAACTTCGCCAGTAGCCTCTGTACTGAGACCAATAACTTGTGTTTGGCTAAAGCATATCTTCCAGAAAGGCATCCGGTCTTGATGGGAAGACATCAAGAGACAGAGAATCCACCACTTCCACTGACAGTTTGCGCTAGTGGTTAATATGTGCCTAATTTCTAATGTGATTTTGCATGGTTTCCAGCTACCACCCATTGGTTGTTGTTATACCTTTCTCCACTAGATTGAAGAACCCTTTAGTACCCGGTATTTTTCCCCCTTGGTGGTACTTCTACACCATAATCAAGTAACCACTCAAACTTTTTTGATAAACTAAGTAGACTTACCTCTTTAAGTCTCTCACTGTGAGGCATTTTTCCAACACTCAAATCATTTTGTGGCTCTTTTCTTCACCTTCTCCAAGTTTTCAACATCATTTTTAATACATGGCCACCAAAACTGTCCACAGTACAGTCCTCACTATGTGAGGAGTTGGCTCTGTAGAATCTGAAATTCAATAGTCTGGGGAGGAAAGTGAATTTTTAATAAATGAATCTTCATTTTAAATTGAATGAATGCCAGAATCATTAGTATGTTTAGACTGCTCTATGATGCTCAGACAATACAAAGCAGCTATAATCCCACTTTAATCAACCAGTTAAAAAGCATTTATCATTGCTTTGCATTGCAAAAGTAGTACAAAGCAGCCAGAACACACCAGTGAATTTGGCTTATTATTTTTCTCCTCTGACTAATGTTGGATGAAGCATAAAAGATCACTTCTGAGAAATATCTAAGCAAATGGATCCTCATCTGAAGTTCACCAGAACTTTTCCATACATCTTTAGTTTGAAAATTATCTAAGAAAGCAACACTGTCTTATACAATTTCTTAGTTTTGTCCAAGTGAGACATATCAGAACAGCCTTTTTAGTTGTAATTCACAAGTTGTGTTTCAGGTCTCAGTGGAAACCAGGAAATTTAGAAACTGGGTTCAGGGGGTCTTTGAACCAATTCCTATGGAGAACCCGGTGGTTGATCCTATTGCATCAAAGTCAGAGGGAGCTGTGATATAGAGGCCCATTGGTGATTCACTTCTGTGTGTCAGCAACTTTTATCAGGCCTGACATACTCACTACACTTAACACATGGTTGTCATGATATATACTCAAAAGGTGGCATATAATATGTCATTGGAAAACTGACAATACTCTTGTATGATGGCTGTATAAGGTGGATATAAAGAATTATGAATATGTGCTAAAATTAGACTCTTATAATGTGTTTGGCAAGCAGTGCATTAGCCCAGTTTGCCTTAGACAAAGGAATGTGCATTTGCATGTCTGACCAGTCTGGTCATCAGGCAGAGATAATGAAGGTCCATTTCCATATAAGGTAAACAAAGCTAAGAAGCAGAGAAGACAGCATGCTGTCTATACCCCAGCAAGAGAGAGAAACTTTATCTGGGGATAAACTTCAAAAGAATATATTTCAAAGGCTATAAAGACAGAGGGTCTGAACCTCACATGATAAGCAATTGAATCAACTGATTGTATACAATATTACTGTATCATAAAAGTATATTGGGTAAGGTCTTTTAAGAAAGCCTGTGACACACTGGTGATTAATGCATACATTTCACATGATATTAACACTATAGAATCATATAATCATAGAATATCAGGGTTGGAAGGGACCTCAGGAGGTCATCTAGTCCAACCTCCTGCTCAAAGCAGGGCCAATCCCCAACTAAATCATCCCAGCCAGGGCTTTGTCAAGCCTGACCTTAAAAACCTCTAAGGAAGGAGATTCCACCACCTCCTTAGGTAACGCATTCCAGTGTTTCACCACCCTCCTAGTGAAGAAGATTTTCCTAATATCCAACCTAAACCTTACCCACTGCAACTTGAGACCATTAGTCCTCATTCTGTCATCGGCTACCACTGAGAACAGTCTAGATCCATCCTTTTTGGAACCCCCTTTCAGGTAGTTGAAAGCAGCTATCAAATCCCCCCTCATTCTTCTCTTCTGCAGACTAAACAAGCCCAGTTCCCTCATCCTCTCCTCATAAGTCATGTGTTCCAGTCCCCTAATCATTTTTCTTGTCCTCCGCTGGACGTTTTCCAATTTTTCCACATCCTTCTTGGAGTGTGGAGCGCAAAACTGGACACAGTACTCCAGATGAGGCCTCACCAATGTTGAATAGAGGGCAATAATCATGTCCCTCCATCTGCTGGCAATGCCCCTACTTATACATCCCAAAATGCCATTGGCCTTCTTGGCAACAACGGCACACTGTTAACTCATATCCAGTTTCTCGTCCACTGTAACCCCTAGGTCCTTTTCTGCAGAACTGCTGCCGAGCCATTCGGTCCCTAGTCTGTAGCGGTGCATGGGATTCTTCCATCCTAAATGCCGGACTCTGCACTTATCCTTGTTGAACCTCATCAGATTTCTTTTGGCCCAATCCTCTAATTTGTCTAGGGCCCTCTGTATCCTATTCCTAACCTCCAATGTGTCTACCTCTCCTCCCAGTTTAGTGTCATCTGCAAACTGGCTGAGGGTGCAATCCACACCATCCTCCAGATCATTAATGAAGATATTGAATAAAACCGGCCCCAGGACCAACCCTTGGAGCACTCCACTTGATACCGGCTCCCAACTAGACATGGAGCCATTGATCACTACCCGTTGAGCCCAACAATCTAGCCAGCTTTCTATCCACCTTATAGTCCATTCATCCAGCCCATACTTCTTTAACTTGCTGGCAAGAATACTGTGGGAGACAGTGTCAAAAGCTTTGCTTAAGTCAAGGAATAACACGTCCACTGCTTTCCCCTCATCCACAGAGCCAGTTATCATCATAGAAGGCAATTAGATTAGTCAGGCATGACTTGCCCTTGGTGATCCATGCTGACTGTTCCTGATCATTTTCCTCTCCTCTAAGTGCTTCAGAATTGATTCCTTAAGGACCTGCTCCATGATTTTTCCAGGGACTGAGGTGAGGCTGACTGGCCTGTAGTTCCCCAGATCCTCCTTCTTCCCTTTTTTAAAGATGGGCACTACATTAGCCTTTTTCCAGTCGTCCGGGACCTCCCCCAATTGCCATGAGTTTTCAAAGATAATGGCCAATGGCTCTGCAATCACAGCTGCCAACTCCTTTAGCACTCTCGGAAGCAGCGCATCTGGCCCCCTGGACTTGTGCTCGTCCAGCTCTCCTAATAGTCCCGAACCACTTCTTTCTTCAGAGAGGGCTGGTCACCTCCTCCCCATGCTGTGCTGCCCAGTGCAGCAGTCTGGGAGCTGATCTTGTTTGTGAAGACAGAGGCAAAAAAAGCATTACATTAGCTTTTTCCACATCCTCTGTCACTAGGTTGCCTCCCTCATTCAGTAAGGGGCCCACACTTTCCTTGACTTTCTTCTTGTTGCTAACATACCTGAAGAAACCCTTCTTGTTACTCTTAACATCTCTTGGTAGCTTCAACTCCAGGTGTGATTTGGCCTTCCTGATTTCACTCCTGGATGCCCAAGCAATATTTTTATACTCTTCCCTGGTCATTTGTCCAATCTTCCACTTCTTGTAAGCTTCTTTTTTGTGTTTAAGATCAGCAAGGATTTCATTGTTAAGCCAAGCTGGTCGCCTGCCATATTTACTACTCCTTCTACACATTGGGATGGTTTGTCCCTGTAACCTCAATAAGGACTCTTTAAAATACAGCCAGCTCTCCTGGACTCCTTTCCACCTCATGTTATTCTCCCAGGGGATCCTGCCCATCAGTTCCCTGAGGGAGTCAAAGTCTGCTTTTCTGAAGTCCAGGGTCTGTATTCTGCTGCTCTCCTTTCTTCCCTGTGTCAGGATCCTGAACTCGACCATCTCATGGTCACTGCCTCCCAGGTTCCCATCCACTTTTGCTTCCCCTACTAATTCTTCCCAGTTTGTGAGCAGCAGGTCAAGAACTGCTCTGTCCCTAGTTGGTTCCTCCAGCACTTGCACCAGGAAATTGTCCCCTACACTTTCCAAAAACTTCCTGGATTGCCCTCCCAGCAGATATCAGGGTGATTGAAGTCTCTTATAAGAACCAGAGCCTGCGATCTAGTAACTTCCGTTAGTTGCCAGAAGAAAGCCTCATCCACCTCATCCCCCTAATCCGGTGGTCTATAGCAGACTTCGACCACGACATCACCCTTGTTGCTCACGCTTCTAAACTTAATCCAGAGACACTCAGGTTTTTCTGCAGTTTCATACCGGAGATCTGAGCAGCCATACTGCTCTCTTACATACAGTGCAACTCCCTCACCTTTTCTGCCCTGCCTGTCCTTCCTGAACAGTTTATATCCATCCATGACAGTACTCCAGTCATGTGAGTTATCCCCCCAAGTCTCTGTTATTCCAATCACAGAGATCCTTCTCTCCGACACCACTTGTGTAGCCATTCATTGACTTCCATGATTCGACTGTCTCTACCCAGGCCTTTTCCTTCTACAGGGAGGATGGACGAAAACATAAGGAATTATGGATACTTAACCTGTTTTCCCTGTGATTGGTCACAGACTTTTCTCCCTGACAGGAGAGAAGGCAGCTACCTACCTGTCTGCAATGTAAATTGAGCATTATGGAATCAAATTGGAAAGCCCACTAATATACAAATCAGGAAGGAGGTGGGAAATTAACAGAAAGGGAAGAACAGCAGGATGCATTTCTTCCTCTTGTAATAGGGTCAATGAACTTTGGGAGATATAAGCAGAAACAGAAAGCTGTTTTGGTATCCATCACTTGAGGGGAGGGGGTTAAATGAGCCAGAGCCCTTGAAATCACAGAATGTTGGATCCTCCAACCCAAGGGGACTGAAGTCTCTGGAAATTGAGTTTAGGTGAGACACCTGCTTAGGGAAAGATTGAAAACTTGCTAAAATTAAGTTTAGTCTTAGAAGCATATTTTTAGTTTTGGTTGCTTGGAAACCTTCCTATCTTTATTTCTCATACTTGATATCACTTAATCCTATTTCCTTTTATTAAATAAACTTATTTTACTTTTACTATAAACTAGTTCAGTGCTCTGATTGAAATAAGAGTGTTTGTCAACCTCAATTAAATTAATGAGTTGCGGTGTGTGTTTTTTTAAAAGGAGCAACAAACTGAATAAGTTTTCTGAGTGTTTAGTGAAAGGGTTGGATGCTGAGCAAGACAGTTTGGGGAAAATTCAGGACTGGGAGGTGTAGGGTGTCACTCTGCAAAAAGCAACTAGGCAGTGGAAGCCAGAGTGTGACCTGCACAGATGTATGCTGGCTGTTTGTGTCAGGGCTGTGAGCCACAGAAGAGAGCCACAGAAGCATAACATTTAAGGAGCTGCAGGGTAGGTGGCAACTCAACCCCTTACTGGTCTGGGTTGAAACCCAAAGCATCACACCATGTAAAATATATACAGTGTTGCCAATTCTCATGAGTATATAGTGAGTTTCATTTATATTTCATGTTTTTCTTAAAGTTGCAGATGTTAGAATCAAGAGATCTAATTATTTTTAAACCAATCTCATCATTTGGGGGCCTGGTTCATGATTTTTGGACACTTGGTATTAGCAATACATTATATATATTTTAAAGCTAACAGATCTTTTTGAAATCTCATAAGAATCAATTTTGTCTCTCCAAGTTAAATGGAGAAAAATTTTACACAGTGTTAAACTTCAGCTCCTAAATGTCTTTTTCCAAAGTACACTTTTGAAATATCATTCCTTAACATTCATTATCAGTGCATGAATTATTGGTCATTTTTCCTGCAACCATTTACCCTACTTTGAATGTGAGTTTAATACAGTTCTATAATCATTTGTATAAGTAATTGATCTTTTATAGTAAAATTGAATTTTATTTGGAGATACTCATTATTGCACAATCTAATATTTGATCTGAACATATAGGATTGTACAAGAAAACCATCTCTCTCAGAGATTGTCATTTGTGCTACAAATGCTGGGCATCAGTTCCAGACCTGGGGATAAATCCCCAAGTGGTTAAAAAGTGTAAGCAGTTAACTCCATAAGTTTCCTGTCATAGGAGTTTCCTCTTCATAGTCTCCTCAAAGGGAAGGATTTGAGGAACTGTGCCAAGAGCAGAAGCCAAGGCCTGCAAACTACACAAAGCCCTAGACTCTACTAGGGAACAAGTTGTCATCCACAGGGATCTTGGTGCAATAGTGCATGAAGGTCAGGAAGATGGTCACTGGCCTCCAGGACCATCCTGATTAATGTGGCTCCTGAGAAAATTGTACTACCTTAGGCTTTACTCAAAGCTTGGGCTTTACCCTTCAAGGTATAAGCAGTTAATGCTTTGTCAAAAAGCATTAAGTACAGTGCAGGTATCTGGTAAGAAACCAATGGGCAGGAGACCATGCCACAGACCACATCCCCTCATCTCAGGCTTGCCAAACCCGCATGCAGAAAAATTATTGGTGGGGTAGATAAACATCCCGGAGAGGTGTTATCTCCCCTTTTGCGAGTGCTGAAGGCCTCCCATCCCTTCTTGGGCAAAGGATTCAAAACTCACAGTGGAGACAGGCATGGAGCAGCACTTATGAGACAAGCTCCACCCTCCACCCCGATTCCAACGAAGGCCCTCCAGGTGGGTATGGGGGAGGGGAGGACTACGGAGACAAAAAGAATGGAGCTAGAGTGCAGCCACTCTATGTGACATGGTCCTCTGGCAACTTGGCAGGACCCCTCAGCAGAAATCTATGTGGAGTTAATTTTTCTCTCCTTGTAACATGCCTGGACACCTTTGGAGTTGGGTGTAGCAGCATTTTTGCAATGAGGAGCAGATGGCAACATGACTCACTCTATGTGACCTGTGTAGGCAAAGGGAGTGGATTAGTTGAAGATTAGAGGGCTGGTGATTAATCAGATCCCATGGAACTGATGGGAACCAAACTGGATTTGCCTGTGGATCCTCACATTCCTTGAAACTGCAAGGCCAAGGCATCTGAGGAGATAATGACAGAAGTTTACTGTCTCAGATTGAAGTACTTTTCACACTCTCCTGCCCTTTTGTTTTGTTTTTTTGAGGAAAGGAGAGTTGAATCCCTATCTTGTTCTTCTCTTATCTAAGAAGGCTAAGAAATAAAGAGAACTGGAAATTAAAGATACCAGTCTAGGAGTGGGAAATAATTCAGCCTAGAACAAAATGCCAGACCATCAGTACCTCTGAAGTACAGAAGTAGAAATACTTTTGAAGAAAAAAATAATCATCTACCTTAAAGTCTATTTCTGATACACAATAGTTGGCCAAATTCTATACTCAGTTACACACAAGGCCTCATCCACCGGTGGTGTAAATTATGGTACCACCACTGATGTCAATTGACTTCAATGGGACCTGTGTGCATGTATGAGGGCAGAATTTCACCCACAGTGTTTGTGTTACACATTGAAAAGGCTAGTGGTTATTTGGGAAGGTTTGTTTTGGCTTACTCTGCATCTGTAGTCTTAGGTCAAAACTCTGTTCAGATCCACATGACGGATCTGGATTTCCAAGTTCTATTTTCCCAATCCATGTATATAGGCCCAGTTCTTCAGTCCATTCGGCAAAACTCCAATTGATATCAACACTGTACTTCTCTGTGGGAGTATGGCAGGAGGAAGCCTGTGGAGAAAGCCAGAATATTAGAATGTAGAACTACTGAAATTCATGAGTATTTTGCCCGCTGAATTTATTTATCAGTTAATAAATGTATTTGGCTGCAGCAAGGAAGAAATACTAAGAGAAAAAGGACAAATATTTATGCTGGATATTTTTGGATGGAGCTGGGGGAAATGTATATGGAATTTTAGCAGAATAATGTGATCTGTATTTTAAACTGGGCTACACACACACACCCACCAATAATTGCCGGTACAGTGACAGGCTTTTCTGCTGGTTGGGGTTTAATCACAGAAGCGTCCTGCTGACAACTGTGGGTCAAGCAGCTTAATCCAGCTCAATAATTCTGAAGCTTCTCATTCCTCTTTCCCCAACATTCATTGTGGTGCACATCCAACATGTTGACATACCTCTAATTGAAGTTTCTACCCAAATTGATTATGATATTTTCACTTCACTGCCCTCAAATGCAGCTGAATTAAGACACCAGGGTAATTAATGGGCCACCATTAACAATGATGTTTCTTCCCATTCCACAGAGCAAACACCAGACTAATTTTCATGGGGAAGTCACACTGTCAGAAGACTTCATTGCTATTAAAAGAATCAGTTAAACATTAACTAATAGACATTTAAACCTTTACTAGGACATGTTTAGTGAAAAATGTTCCTTTGGCAGAATACTAATTGGCGTTCTAAATATCACAGGTCTTTTTAAAATGATCCTATGTGCATTCTCTATTGTGCAACAGTTTCACTGTATACCTCTTTTAATACACAAGACACATACATAACTATATATTTATCTACAGGCAGACAGCAAAACTATTTCTTCCCATGTTTCATTAAAAACCTCACAAATTGGATTTGCTCATTTCTTAACTGTATTGAAACTTCAGCAGTAGCAGAAATGTAATTGGAGGCTCTGGTCACCTTTAAAAGAAACACATGAAAAGATTGTTAATGTTCCAAAATTCACTGACATTCCAAAAGAAATAGTCATTTCCAAGTACCCTTTCCAAACGTGAAAGCATAACGGGTAAATTAAGCTTGCTGTTGCCTGCTTCATGCTACTATATCTCCTCATTTTGAAAAATCAATAGAGGCTATTAATCATTTCACCCAATGTCCAGAGACTCTAAATGCCTTAACGGTGAACTGCAAGGGTTTGTGAAGAAGAAAAAAAATAGAAGAAGCAAAATTGCCATATGAACACACTAATAAGGAGACATTTCACACCAATGTCTGAATTATATCCTGTATCCCTCCTTTTACAGATCACAAACTCCTCAATCAGCTGAAACCTCCCAGTACACATAAAGATGGTGATTTTACCACTCCCCCAACCAGTCCGGGAGCAAAGAAAAGTTAAATCTGATTTTATTCAATAGCATACAGCTCTTTCAATTGTTCTTTTGCTTCACTTTTATATATGGGGAATGAAAACTGTACAATACCGAACAGACACCTTCCATTTCTCCTTAGGCAGACTCCTTGCTCCAGCACGGACCAGTAGATACTGATGTTACCAACTCAGTGCATGTGGGTTCACTGCAGCAGACCAAAAAGTTTGCAATAGTCAATCTGCCACTTTACAAAGCTGTAAAGTGGGGGGACATGGGGAAGAGGAGAGAATACTATTTTGAAATGGACCCAAATGCTACTAATTGGATTTACTTGGCAATTCTGTGGCAGATTTTATTCTATTCTACATAGGTTCTTTTACCACCTTCATCACCATAGTATCTGAGCAGATCCTGGCGTAAATTGTCATATTTCCACTGACTTCAGCTGAACTATGCTAGTTCACACCAGTTGTGGACCTGGCTCTCTGTTGTTTGTAAGGAAGATTCCATGTTTTTCTTGAACAACCTTCCAGTGCAGCTTAAGTGGCACAAAGTGAGCACTGACACCCGTTGGAATAATATCACCTCCCATCCCTCTCTCATACACAGAGCACTGTAACAACAAACCCAGATTACAGTGTGAGTGTAAAGAGGAGCACACACCACCAGTATTGTCTAGTGGTCAGGCAGGGGTGCAGCAGGTTGTCTCCCTCCCTTTCAGTTTATAATCCTGTCTTGTGGGGTTGTCCCTTCTTTTGTGGCTCAGTTCTCCAGCCAGCTCACATGTTCCAGTCCACACCTTTCGGGGTATACTGACAGAAGGGCCCATCACAGAGAAGTCTTTCAGCTTCTACATGGGCTTCAGGGCTTTCACATTAGTTCAGTGACTTGGGGTTTGGGCCCCTGAACACCCAGGGTCTTCCCCAGCTGGATTCTTCACTGAGGTAGAAACTAAGTTCTGCACCTTGGGGTGCTAAGCAGCTGCCTCCCTGGATCACTTCCTACATAAGTCCCCTTTGTACCCACCGTCAATTAAAGACTTGCAAATAAAGTCTGACTGTCCAAGTGAGTCACCAGTCTCTCCTTTGTAGTCTGTGTTGCCAGGCCTCAAGCAATGAGCGCGCCTGGCCAGTACTTCCCAGAGCTCAGGTCTGCTCCCTTCCATTGCCTGCCTCCCCTGACTGGCTCTGCTTCCCTTTTTAAACTCCACCTCCAGCTTGTTCAGGCTTTGCAGATATGGCTGGGTGGGGCTACCAGAACTGCTCCTTAACCCCTCGTTCTCTATTGTGAGGTTTGTATGCCCCACCAAAGTGAGGTAACACATTTCAGTTAAAAAATGTGCAAGACAAATTAAGATACACAGAATTGAAATCATGTCTCACAGGTGGCTCAGGATATAAACTATGAGAGAGCTGGCACCATTACAGCAAATTCTTTAACAACATTTTTATTATTGAATACATATTGAAAAAAATATTGCAGTCTCTCTCTGTTACTGTATGACCAGATTGACAAGCATCAAACCTTACAATAAATGATAAAATTTAAAAAGCTGTGTATCTAGAATTAATTTTAAACACAGAATTTATCTAATACCAATGAAAAAGCTATTTGTCTATCCATGAAGACATAATGACCCCATCACTGTACTATCTTTAATTTAATGATACCTTTATTTTTGGTATAGTGCAGTCTAATTAAAGTGTTCACAATTTCAACACTTTTTGATTTGTATGATTTATGAATACAAAGAAAATGTAAGCAGTTGAAATATTATTTGGTTTTTTCTTTGTGTTTGGGATTTATTTGAAAATCCTTCTTTCAAAGCATAGATGGGCCAAGCCTGCCCCCTAGAGTATTGTCTTCCCCAGTGAAAAGAAACACATCTATAAAAACTCATTCATACTCAATATCTAGCAAAGAAATTTGAATTTGTGGGATAACTGTGGTCCCTTCTTAGATAAATTGCAAGTGACAGAATTTCAGTTAGAAGTATTTGAACCCCTGAGCAAAAAAACATTTGAAGGCTCAAGGTTAAGATATGAAGAATTCTCAGAGGAAAAGACACTTTGGCAAAATTTATTTAACAAATTAGAACATGATGTTTTAGAACCACGTGAGCCTCCAACAAAGGAACAGAAAAAAATGCCTTTCTGAGACAGACTAATAGTTCCATCAATAACCAAATGCTTCAAAAGAAAACAAAGCTCCCATAATGACAAAATTTCCATATATATTCAGCTGAATTAATCTGGCACATAATACCAGTTACAACACATGCCACAATTTATGCATGTATTAGGATTATGATTATTTCTCTGACTGTGCATTAGTGTTCAATACTTCCTGGAACTGCCTGATACACAAGACAAGCACACACCAGCTGCTACATCTCATAAGGGATGCGGATGCATTATGTTCTGTCCTCTGCAATTAGGCAGGTATATAGCCTATAGTGTGTTTTAGGAGGGAGATTATGGCTCTGACTTTTCATCACCCGGCACCCCTCCTTGCCTCTTTTGGGATGGTGAATACTGCTAGTTGCACTAGCAAACAGCAGTCCTTGAGGAGTGCAAGGTCTTCAGTTGTGGCTGGCCCCTATATGGGGGCCCAAAGGGAGATTCCTCAGATCCTTCCTCACTTGCACACCCTTGCACAGAGCAGTCATAACCTGACTCAGTAATAAATAATATGTGATAATTGCACTGGGATAAATGCAGGGGCGTTGAACACCTGCCACTCTCCTAGACTCCAAAAAAAGATGGGTATAATCATTACCTCAGAGGATTTGGCCCATAGGGCTTTTTAACCCAATGTATTTTGCCAGCAATGGGGCCAGATTCTCAGCTTCTCTAAGGTCAGTTTACTCCATGTGCTAGCAGACGTCTGTCTTAAACCTTGACTAAGCAAGCTGAACACTGGTGCAGTGTGCACTGGTCCAATCCTCCCCCTAGGCAGACCACCACACTCTGACTTATGCTACTCATAATGGTGCTGTAATAGAGAAAAAATTGTGGGGTGGGGATGCAATCTGAGTTATAAAATTCTCTTCACTGATCCACCCACAAAGGGATGGAAAACCACAGTGTATGTTAGAACAGCCCAAAGCCTTCTCTACAAGGCTTTAGAGTGGGAGATAGCTGTGCAGTGGGGTCCAAGGATACACTAAGGAGCTCCCCAGACCTATCCTGCTCACTTGTTTTGTTGCTCCCTCCTGGACTCCCATTCCAGTTTTAGGATACCACAGCTAATGGTTATCAAGGACAGAAACTGAAATTAGGAGAGAGTTGTAGCCAGGACTCGAGTCATACTGAACACTTTAGAACACCACTCCGGCTCTGTTTTTGGGGAGCTGGAATGCCATTCCAGTATTTCTGATACTTCCAGTAGTGATAGTACTGGAATAGTGATAGTAGTGGAAGTGAGGGTCACGTCAGATACATTCACATCATAACCCTTTGTAATCTCCCATTGTAGCTAACCATGGGAAAGACAAAATCTGACAATACACACCAAGACTGCATTAGAAGCCAGACATAAATGTCAACATAAATGGCCCCTTTCAGGGCCTCAGCCAAAGACAGTACTTAAAATCATCAGTTTCTGTGTGGAGGGATTTTCGGCAGAGAAGTCTGGCTTGCTGTCTGGAATGAAAGC